CCCACTTAAGTTACACAGTTAAAGACTTATATCCACGTAAGTTACACAGCTAAAGACTTATAAAAACCAACAAGTATACTAATGAAATGACTTATATTTTTGAAATGTCACAGATAATCAAAATCTAGTGAAACCACACTTAAATTTTTTTTTCCACTACAGGGGTGCTCTACCACTGAGCTACATATCCAGCCCTTTTTATTTTTTGAGACAGGGTCTTGCTAAGGTATTGGCCTTAAACATGTAATCCACCTTCTTCAGCTTCCCAAGTTGCTGGAATTACAGGTGTGCACCACAGTACCTGACTATACACTTTCATTATTGTAGCTGAGTCTGTGGTTCACCATTTGGATGTTTTGTTTCTATTTGGATAATCATTGAAACTTAAGACAATTTATATTATTCTTACTCCTTAATCCAGTGTATTCATATAACTATATCCTGAGATGGTTCCTTTTTTTTTCTAATATATTTTATTTACAGAACCATTTGTTTAAAAGAAGTCTACCTCCAACGAAAATTCAATATTTAAAAAAACCATTCTGACCGAGTAAGGGTGAGACACCCTCCCTACTGCCCCCATATCTTTCCTCCTCATCCCTGACATGTAAAACTTCTTTGGAACAAAGGATACAGAGGCTGAAAAAACATTGAGAACTGATGGTTGCCATATTCTCATTTTAAAAATGAAAAAACTGAGGCCCAGAGGCATTTCCAAAATTAAATATCTAGTTAGTGTTAGTCCTCAAAACTGAGGCTGGAATCTGGGACCTGATTCCCCAGCACTGAGATGGTTCCTTTTATTTTCAACTTTTTACTGAAATATAGTTGAAAAGTGCACAAAAGCGTCAACAATTTGAATTTTTGTAAATCACACATACTTGTGTAACCAGCACCCAGATCAAGAAACAACTGAGGGGGGGAAAAAACAAGGGGGAGAAATGAATTACAGTAGATGGGGTAGAGAGAGAAGATGGGAGGGGAGGGGATGGGGGATAGTAGAGGATAGGAAAGGCAGCAGAATACAACAGACACTAGTATAGCAATATGTAAAACAGTGGATGTGTAACCGATGTGATGCTGCAATCTGTATACGGGGTAAAAATGGGAGTTCATAACCCACTTGAATCAAAGGGTGAAATATGATATGTCAAGAACTATGTAATGTTTTGAACAACCAACAATAAAAATTAAAGAAAAAAAAAAAAAAGAAACAACCGAGCAGCTGGGCATGGTAGCGCAGACCTGTGATCCCAGCGGCTCAGGAGTCTGAGGCAGGAGGATTGCGAGTTCAAAGTCAGCCTCAGCAACTTAGTGAGACCTCAAGTGACTCAGTGAGACCCTGTCTCTAAATAAAATATAAAAAAAGGCTGGGGTGTGTGGCTCAGTGGTTAAGCGCCCTTTGGTTCAATCCCCACTACCCGCCCCCTCCAAAAAGAAACAGTTGAGCAGCACCCAGAAAAGCCCATTTGTACCCTCCCTCCAAGTCCATACCTTGTCTCTCTCCTGCCTTGCCCTGCCTTGCCCTGAAGTTTGTGGAGTTGTGGATGGGGTATAGAGAACTGGACAGATCTGGTTCTAGACTAATTTGTCACTAATTACATACCTTCAATTTTATTAGAGATTTTTGAGGTAGGTCATAATGTGATGGATTTTTTCCCCATAGATCCTTTTAGGTTGTGTTTATAATTTGCAATAAGTCATAATAGCTTACAGTAAAGATATAAAGAGCAGTTACTATGTACCAGCACTGGGCCAAGGTCTTTAACATGCTATCTCAATCCTGACAACCACCCTGGGAAGTGGGTAAGTAGACTCATTGTACAGGTGAGAGAAGGGAGATTTAGTAAGTAAATAACCCAGGTTCTGTCACTTAACCACTCTGTTCAAAGCCAGCCTCACAGCCTCAGAAATTTAACAAGGCCCTAAGCAACCCAGTGAGACCCTGTATCAAAACACAAAAAGGGTTGGGGATATGGCTTAGTGGTTTAGTGCCCCTGGGCTCAATCCCTGGTATAAAAAAAAATACAGTTTTTAGTCTTTTTCCCTCATTAGTAACAGTACTATCTACAACTGTAAATGGTCTATCCTTGCATGAGACAGGTGGTCACCTTTCCTGGCCCTTTAGCTCTGATGGGGTTGGTGAAGGGTCCTGTCTCATAATCAGGAAGTTCTATAGGGGTCCAGTGTGCTGGGATTGCTGCATCCAGTCTCTCAGATAGCCCTGGAGATTTTCACATGGAGAGCTCAGCTGAACTTTTTCAGATCTTTGACAAAATTAGTCTTTCCTTTTTTTATCCTCTTGACAAAATGACCCCAAACTCTAGGGAAAGTGGAAGAATTGTGTGGGTGAAAGGAAGATTTTGAGTTAGAGGGGTTCTTTTTGGCTTTTCACCAACAACTGTTGTTGCAACTGAGCTCATGCCTCGAATCTGAGCGAAGGCTGTGGCTCCAGGGCCCACCTTCCCCTGAATCCCTCCCTGCTTCTCAATCTTATCAGTGTTCCAACTCAGAATTTTCCATCCATCTGCCTGAGGCAGCTGCTGGAGAATCTGCTGGGAGTAAGAGGGTTTCACACCAATGAGTACTTTGCCCTGGGTCCCTTGCGGCTCACAGATCAGGTGAAACACATAAAAGCAGAGCTACTCAGGTGACAGGAGGATGAAAATCCAAAGCTCTTTTCTAGGCCAGGCCTTTGCCTCACCCAGCTGGTGCGAGTCAGCTCTCTGAAACTTCTGGACTGGTCTAGAGGGAATGGTTTGGAAACTAGTTGCATGTGCAGGTCAAAAGTGCTGGCCTGAGGGTCTACATAAGATCAGAGAGAGGAGGAAAAATTCTCCATGCCCACTGACTCTCTGGAGAGTCTCTCCTATCAACCTGCCGGTCCCTCACTTCTCCACAGGCTGCTTGCTCTTCCTGTGGAGGGAAGAAAAAAGCAGCTTCACCTATTCACTTATCTTCAACTGTGTTTTGGACCTGTTATCTGTTAAATGGGAAGTGAGAGGGATTTGGGAGTATTCCCAGTGGTAGAGCACAAGCATGCTGCCTAAGGCACTGGATTTAAAATGTGTAAAGTAGATACTGAATAGCTTCCTTTCCCCATTCCTGAGGCTGCACCTTTTCCCCTTCTGGGCCTTCCCAGCATTTCTTTCCCAACATGTACTTTTTTTTTTTTTTAATTGTAGATGGACCCAATACCTTTATTTATTTTTAAGCAGTGTTGAGGATCAACTTAGTGCCTCACATGTGCTCAGCAAGTGCTCTACCACTGAGCTACACCCCCAGCTCCGCAACATGTACTTTGAATATGCCTGTATTTTGCACTAAGCATCCTGCATTGAAGTTATTTGAGTTGTTCATAGCACCATTCTAGAAGAGCACTGTGCCCTGGATTATATTCCTTAAGAGGGAGTGTTTTGCTTTTTTTTTCTCCCAGTCACCAGAGCACACTCCTGGTCCAATGCTTGGTCCAAAGTAGATGTCACACATTTGGTTGTTAAATGAATTGTCAATGTGTTGAACCCACGACACAAAGAAAAGACCACTGACCCCAATTTTAAACCAAATTAAAGCAAGCTTATATTGCGTACACAAAGAGAGCTGGCCAGTGACTGTCTCAACCGAAACCAGGGCCAGAGAACAGTGACAACTCCCAGGAAAGAAAGGTTTTTAAAGACAAAAAGTTACAAAGTGAGTGTTTTGAGAACTTAACAGCTAACAGGGTTCTGGCAAGTGTAATACAAAGGCAGATAGCAGGTTAATGATCTACATGGCTTAACATTTCATGGTAGGGAGTAAATTGAGATTCCAACATCAGAACTTATGAGGAGCTGCTGAGGTTTTAGGGAGGGTTGTTATCTGGTCAAGGAGAGCCAGGCCTGGGTGAGTTCAGAACACAGGCAGGAATTCCAAACAAGTTTAACCATCAGAGTATGGTCAGGCCAAATAGAAATAAAACAGAAAGGAACTTTTCATGAGTTTGTGATGAGATGGCTCCCAATCTTAAAATGGAATCAGGGGCTGGGGTTGTGGCTCAGCGACAGACGGCTCGCCTAGCAGCGTGCCAGGTGCTGGGTTTGATTCTCAGCACCACATGAAAACAAATTAATAAAATAAAGGTATTGTGTCCAACTACATAAAAATAATTTTTTAAAATGGGTTCCTCAAATGGTATTCATCTTGGACCAACCTAAACAGTGCACACAATAGAAGGAGAAAGGGAGTGTGGGAGAGAGGAAGGGAGGGAAGGAGGGAGGGAGAAAGAGTGACTGACTATGTGTGTATGGTGGGCAAGGAGGAATATTGTGGGGATGAAGCATTACCATAGCAGGCATCCACGCCAAAGGAGGACACTGTCAAGTGACAAAAAAAAAAAAAAAAAAAGTCGGAATTGGAATCCCATTTCCACGCCAAAGGAACTCCCGCCCAAGTGACTTCGGTTTATTTACGCCCACAACAGGGATAACAGCCGCGCTTAACCCTAAGGGAAAACGTTTTGTAAAGAGAGGTTCCGAGCTGGGCGCGGTGGCGTGCTCCCCCATAATCCCAGCAGTTCGGGAGGCTGAAGCAGGAGATTGAGAGTTCAAAGCCAGCCTCAGCAATTTAATGAGGCCCTAAGCAATACAGCGAGATTCTGTTTCAAAATAAAATATAAAAGGGGGTAGGGATGTAGCTCAATCCCTGGGTCCAATCCCTGGTAACCAAAGAAAGAATGATTCCTGTAGCTCAGCGCCAACAGGGCCCGGTAGAGCGAGCCAGGCTCCAAGGAACCAGGGCCCACAGACACCCACCGGGTCAATTATAATTGCAGCGTAGTGTGGGAAAATTCCGTCCCCTGTCAGTGATTTGTCTGAAGGTCATAGGCGCCAGAGACGTTCCCACACTTTATTGGTTAACGCTGCTGTCAGTCTAAGGGCGGAGACCTTTGGGAAACGTAGTTCCGACACACCGAGTCCTTCCGAGGCTCGAGTTTACGCCGCCGGGGTTTTGTGGCCCTCCGAATGCCTGAGCTTCGGGTAATGAGCTCGGATTTTAAGTGTCACGGGGGACGTTGTGTGACTTCGGAGAAAGTGCCGCTTGGCCGAGTGGCCCGTAGCCGCCGGGCCTCAGCTAGCAAGAGCGGCTCTCACCTGGGCCTGGGCCTGGGCCGCCCCTGCAGGGTGAGCGAGGCAAGCTGACGCCTTGGGCGGTATGCTCTGGGCCCTGGCCCGGCGTCCTGCAAGGATGCGCCCCCTCGTGCTGGCGGCCTTCTTCTGCTCACCATCCACGGTTGGGAGGGCATGTCCCTGGCTCTCTAGCCTTCAAAGCAGCCCGGTTCACAAGGACTGCATTTGTTCCCAAAAAGCTTCCAAAGAAGATGCCCCGCATAGCAGAATAGTCTTCCAGTATAGGTTATGTTCTGATGGCCACTCGTGCCTTTTCCTGCGGTAAACCAGCTCTATGACCTTGGGCAAGTTTCTGGGGATCTCTAAACCTCGATTGTATCAGGTCCAAGAGTTGAAGGTGGAGTTAAATAATAACTTTCCTTCCAACTCTGACATCCTGTGACCCTGTATTTTTATTGTCCTTGCTTTTAGAGCTTGTAGAGTAGATCACACTGTTGGTAGAGGGTTATGATGCTAGGGCTAAGGGATCCTGAACAGTGTGCTAAGTCGAGAACCTAGCCAGGGGCGAGTTTGGAATATTAGAATTTCTGGACTTGGAGACGGCAACACCCAGATGCTGCTCTCCAAGGTGCTGCTACATTATGCTCAGTCTGACTTTTACTGGACCTTCACTTTGTAACACTCTTATGATTCTAAAGCCCAGTGGCTTGGGAAGAGAGGCAGTTTATTGTCTCATATATAATCTCCATAAACTCATCCTCATTCTTCAGTGTGGATAACTGGTATTTTCTGAGCCTTAAGTAAACTATTGTGCAAATACCTTTAAGCTCCCCTCCTTTCCCATCAGTTACCAGCTCTTGACCACTTTTATCAACCTTATAAAGTTGCCTCCTCAGTGATAGAGAGCCACATTCCACAGGCAGCAGGACATGGAGAGAGGCAGATAGGAAGGCTGCCTTCTTCAATTCTGTTAGGCTAGCACTTGTGATTTTCACTCTAATATATGTCTTCGGTTCTAGGATTTCAAGAGAAGGTCCACCTAGTGACTCAAGTAAGGGTGACTTCTCAATGAGACAAAGAGATTTGAGCTTTATAGTTGCAAGGTTCTCTGAGCTGAATAAGGGCTGTAGCTGTGACTCAACAGATCCAGACTCTTCAAGTGCAAGAAGGTTGCAAGTAGAAACTAGAAGATTCCTGCTGGGAGCAGGAAATTTCCTTTCAAGGGAATGACTCTGTGCTGAAGACCTCCTGCCAGAGCTTTTGGCATTTCCACTATCAAGAAGCATCTGGCTGTTGGAGGCTAAGGCAGGAGGATTGCAAGTTCATAGCCAGCCTCAACAATTTAGTGAGGCCTTAAGTAACTGAACAAGACCCTGTCTCAAGATAAAAAAATAAAAGAAGGACTGGGGATGTTGCTCAGGGATTGAGTGCCCCTGGGTTGAATCCCTGGTACAAAAAAGAAGGAGGAGGAGAAGGAGAAAAGAAGAAAGGAAGAAGAAGAAGCTGGACTCAAGGAGGCCCTTATTCAACTCTGGAAGATTTTTCACCAGTGGCTGAGACCAGAAGTTAATGAAAGAACAGATCCTGGAATTACTAGTTCTAGAACAGTTCCTGTCTTTCCCCCAAGAGATCCATATCTGGATTAGACAGCAGCATACAGAGATTGGAGAGGAGGCCGTGGCCCTGGTGGAAGATTTGCAGAAAGAAATGGGAAGACAGGGGTTACAGGTGAGATAAGGAAATAAATTTCTGACTGGCCAAAGTAGAAGAATGTGAGAGACAGCCTCCATGGATTGTCAGCTGTGTAGATGAGGCATAGTACTTTGCTATTTATGTCAAAATGGAGTTTGCTTGTTCCCTGATCCTGGTCACTGCAGCTTTTCTTCTCAGTGCAGACTATCTCTTCAAAGAATATGTACATTGGCTGCTCTGAGTATTGGTTTCTGCCATTAAATAAGAGAATTTCTGGGGTTGAGGATGTAGCTCAGTTGAGGATATAGCTCAGTGGTAGAGCACCTTCCTAGCATGTACAAAGCCCTGGGTTCGATTCCCAGCACTACACAGAATTGCTGAAAATGGCAGTTCTCATTTTCTGGGTGAGCTGGAGGAAGCAAGTTACTTTACTGGTCATTAGTGACACTATTGAGCTTATTGCAAAATAGTTGAATTATTGGTCATGCCTACATATTTTGCTTACATGTTGGCAAGACAAGTAGGAGCATGCCAAGGAGAGCTGGATGGTCAGGTTGCAGTGGGCTTGGGTTCTAGACCTTATCTCTGTGAAATCTTCCACATATGCACATTCTTTGCTGCTGCAGATATTTGCACAAGACTTACTTTTGCATTTTCTTCTTTGAATCTGGAGATGTTTCAGTTTTAGTTCCTACAGGATTTTGAGCACTTGCAGTCCTTGAATGGAGATTGTCCTTTCAGAGGAGAATGAACCCTCAGAATTAGTACTGAGTTCCCTAAACATCTACCATAAGCACAAACAACCCATGTGTCTGTTTCAAGCAGTGAAGAACTGGCATCCAGAAACAGAGGAACAGTCAAGCCGCAAAATAGAGTTCCCATCCTTCCATGGTAATGGTAAGCAGTAGCTAATGGGGTTGGAGGGGGCACTGACTATGGAGAGGGCATGAAAGCACCCTCTGAGTGCAGGATGTAAGATATAAGATACAGCTCCCTGCCACCTGGAAGATGCAGCTTGTAAACTGAGGCTGATGGTGTGAATCTGTGAGAGCCTAACTAGGTACCTCCAAAGGGAAGGACTCCAATTGGCATATTTTGTAAAATCACTTAAGAGAGCCTGCAGCCCTTCTGTTTATATGAGTGAAGAGTGATAGTCCCATATTATGGTGGGGACATATTTTAAGGTTATTTGGTAGGAAAAGCAAAAGATAATGTTAAACTTAAGTGTAATAATCCTTAAACAGGTAATTATCCCCAGATGAATTCAGATGACTCAAGTATATTACCCAAACTGAAAAACAGGTCATAAAATCCTGACTGTCAGTGCCTGGATGAATATGGAAGAGAAAAAAATCTAGAACATTCAACTTAGAAATGTATCATTTTTTTAAGAGTGAAAGAAGTAAAATTCATTCAAGTGTGAAGAATAGAAACAGAACTCTTGCAGGGGCAAGATAGGGGTTGCCCTTATTTGGGGTTTTTGCCAGTCTTTCTTTGATAGGAAAAAGGAGATACAGAGAGTCTTCTGTTCCTGAACTCAGTCAGGCTTGTTTCTGAAAGGAATTAAGAACCATATTCTCTTAATGTTCTGATTCTCTTCCCTAGCCCTGCCTGATCCTCTAGCTTCCTGCAGAAAAGCACAATGGTGACCAGGGGACAGTGAGCAGCAGTTGATGAATCATATTTTTCTCTTATTTAAATTACCTTTTACTACTTGAATGGGGCTCTCTGCACTAAGAAATTCCCAAAGAATTTTACCAAGAAGGGAAGCCCAGTAACTTATACAATAGACTCCAAAATTTCATCAGACTACAAAAGGTTGCCCAAATCTCCATGGTACTGAGGAACTGTATTTAAATTGCTGTTTTTCTTGATTCTAAAATCATCATATTATATTGATTTGCTTGTTTGCTTTAAAGGTCCTGATTACTTCCTTCATTCTCTATCCAGATATTGTTCAATGGCTGAAATATTGTGTAGTGGGGAAAGAAACAAAAAGTTAAAAACTACAGTTAGTCCTGAGTTCAAATTCCAGTAAGTCCTGTATTAGCTGTGTCATTTTGAGCAAATATGTAAAGCTTATAATATGAGTGTTCAGTAAAAATTAGCTTCTTTCTTTCTTTCTTTCTTTGTTTTTCTCTATTCCTTCTCCCTTGTCCTGTTTTCTTTATTGCATATAAAATCCAAAGTACTCCTTTCTGGTTTGTTATGTGTGTTTTGTCACTTGCCCTCCTCTGACTCAGGTATTTTGTCCCAATTTTGTATATGTGGGATGTGGGGAGGTTGAAAATTCAAACATTGCTTATGCTAGACTACCACTGAGCCACACCCCCAGGCAAGGTTATGTGTTGTTTTTTGTTTGTTTTGTTTTTTAGTACTGTGGATCCAGCCCAGGGCCTCACACATGCTAGGCAAGTGCTTTACCTCTGAGCTGCATCTCCAGTTCCCAGGCATGTGTTTTGAGGAGGGGTATTATGTTTCTTCAGGAGCTGGTGACATTTGGTTATGTGTCTGTGTATGTCTCCCAGAAGGCACAGGAGCAACCAGAACCTGGACAGAAGAGCCACCTAAAAATAACTTGGGAGAATTCTGCAAAGGGGGCATCCCACTAGGTAAGGATGTCTAAAGGAGTCTAAAGTTAACTGAAGGGTTTCTGTAGTATTCCCTACCTCAGACATTTTTGGGGTTGAATTTTTCAAATTTACTCCCTTCTTTAATTCTACTTGAAAAGAAACAGAAATCCAACATCATATTAGCATCTCTAGGGATGAATTTCTTTTTTTTAATTTTTATTTTTTTTAATTGTAGTTGGACACAATACTTTCATTTTATTTATTTATATGTGGTGCTGAGGATCGAACCCAGGGCCTTGCATGTGCTAGGCGAGCACATTATCTCTGAGCCACAACCCCAGCCCCTCTAAGGATGAATTTCTTGAGCCCAAAAAGACATTAGATTGGAAGCTCATCTTAGTTTTATTTATTACACAATACATGAGCATGGGTCTGAATTTTTTTCTTATTGTTCCTTTATAGTCCTTAATATTATTTTCATTGAGGCTTTATAAGAATTCCCTTAGACTTTTTTTTAAAAAAAATTATTCTCTTTCCTCCCAATTCTGTAATGTAGTTGGGATTAGATTCACCAAACCCTATGTCTCTTTGTCTCCCTACAAACAGATTTTCCAATCTACAGGCCTAGAGTGAGCAGGAGTAATTACAGAGCCCAGATCTTTACCACTGCAGAGAGAAGGAGAGAGGAGAGTGGGGGAGAGTGCTCGGTGAGTGGGTAAGAGCCAAAGCTGGCCAAATACCTTTTTTTTTCTTTTTTTTTTTTTTTTTTGGTACTAAGGATTTAACCCAGGAGTGTTCTACCACTGAGTTACATCCCCAGCCCTTTTTACTTTTTATTTTGAGACAGAGTGTCCTTAAGTTGCTTAGGGCCTCACTAAGTTGCCAAGGCTGGCTTTGAACTCAAGATCTTCCTGTGCTGGTAGGCTTGCAGGCATGTACCACCACACCTGGCCCAAGTGCCAATCTTGATAAAATCCAAGGCCTGGAATAAGCAGAAGTGACAAGGCCTGGAGGATGGGACTATGAGGAAACCAAGATTTTTCTGGGAATTCTCAGTGAGTCAAGGGTCCATGAAAAATATTATATCTGTACCAGAACTGCTAGGTATGTCAGACTGTAGCTAAATGGCTTTGAGAATGTGGCTTCCTGTGGATCCTGGAGCAGTTCAAAAACCTGCAAACCAACTAGTGCAAAGCCAGGAGCACCCATATGCCAGGCATCTGTACCTCTGTGATGAGATGGATACCCGGATGTGCCCACAGGTTGCCACCCCCATCCCAGAGGTGGCAGGTTGTCTTCTTGGGCAGCACATTGTGGAGCAAGAACTGCTCATTGGTTGTTGGGAACAGGAGATGGCAATGCTGGATAAAAATGTGTCAGAAGCTGGGTCAGGGAAGCAGGGACAGAACCTAGGTCATACAGCAGCATTTTTAGAAGAATAACATGTGGGAGCCATGACAGCAGATTCTGAGGGGGAAGAAATGGGGGGCTGAAGAAGCCTGGAGAAGCCCTGGTTTCACAGCCCTGTTTCAGAGTCCTCCTGGTAAGACCTTGTTATCACAATATTGGGGAAGTAGGGTGTTAGTTAACAGGATTGGAGAGAACCTCATCCCAACCAGTTCTCTGCTGGGCACAGTTTGTAATCCCAGCTACTCTGGAGACTGAGGCATGACAAGTTTCAGACCAGCCTGGGTAGCTTAGCTGTCTCAAAACAAAATCAAAAGGGAATGTAGCACATTGGGGCTGGGGATGTGGCTCAAGCGGTAGCACGCTTGCCTGGCATGCGTGCGGCCCGGGTTCGATCCTCAGCACCACATACAAACAAAGATGTTGTGTCCGCTAAAAAATAAATATTAAAAAATTCTCTCTCTCTAAAAAAAAAAAAAAAAAAAAAAAGGGAATGTAGCACAGTGTAAGAGTACTTACCTCACATGGCTGAGGCCCTTATTTTCTCAGGGTACAACATGCATTCATGGCATATTGTAATGGTTTGGGAAGAGCCAGGAAAGACTATTTTTATATACAAATGGAAGAACCATTTGTTTGCCTGAACAATGGATAAAAAGGAGGAGCTGTGTTACATAAGAATAGTGTTCATATGTCTAAAAATAAATATATGCATGTTGTCACATCAAGTCTTGTCATAGAGGGAGAAAACCCATTTGTTTGTTTCTTAGGAAATCACTGAAATGCTGTGGAAGGAATGTGGAAGAGTGTCTTCTGTCATCTTTATTATAAAACTGGGGTGTCATCCTGATTTAACCACTATCCCTTTCCCCTAGGTATGCATTGGGGGTATAAAGAAACTAAAATTTACCTGAGAATTCTTGTAAGCCCTACATTCATAAGAAACTTGCAGCTGCATCAGAGCCATCAGGTATACCAGATTGTGGCTGGGCAGCTGTGGGATAATGTGGCTTTTTGTGGACGCTGGAGCAGTGTTGCTACTGGTTCAAAAACTTTCAGAACAACAAAGCCAAGAACACCCATATGCCAGGCACCTGTGCCTTCTATGATGAGATGGATGTCCTGATGAGTCCCGGGACCCTAGCTAATACCCATGATGTCTTAGAGGTGGCAGGAGGCCTCCTGCAGGATAGAGGGCAATCCCAAGGGATGTGGGAGACAGCATCAGAAGGTACAACAGGACACGGTCATGAAATAACAGAGGAGTCTCAAGATGATCTGAGAAGACTTAGTCCCTAAGGATTGAGGAAGGATTCCAGTGGCAAACTCTCCTCCCCAGAACACTTCAGAACAGTGGCAGAGATGAAGTCCTATGGGAGGCATTGGAGATTGGGAGTCCAGAGACATAACATGATTATTGCCCTGGCTCTGCTGCCTCTAGTCTGGAATGACCTCATCAGGAGTAAAATGGACATGTCTTTGAGAAAATGTTGTTTACTTCCTATCCTCAAATATTATTCAGCTCAGCCCTCTGCTGAACTAGTAGTCCAGGCTGACTCATTAAGAACATTTTGTGTAGGAATGGGTTCTTCCCGACTACTTTCAGTAACAATATAGTAGATACAGAGAAGATAAAAGTTGGAGGTTCTTAAAGTTTTAGTCCTTTGTTTTCTTTTTCTTTTCAGTCCTTCGTTTTCATCTAAAGCACCCCATAGAGGTGAACTTTGCTTATATGTTGATCACTTAAAGACTTGTCTAGGGTTGGGCATGGTGACACACAACTGTAATCCCATAGGCTCAGGAGGCTGAGATAGAAGGATTGCGAGTTCAAAGCCAGCCTCAGCAGCGGTGAGGCACTAAGCAACTCAGTGAGACCCAGTCTCTAAGCAAAATAAAAAATAGGGCTGGAATGTGGCTCGGTGGTTGAGTGACCCTGAGTTCAATTCCTTGTACCCCCCCCCCCCAAAATAAAAGACTTGTCTAGGGGCTGTGGGTATAGCTCAGTGGTAGAGTTTGTGCTTAGCATGCACGAAGCCCTGGGTTCAATCCTTAGCAGCGCCCTCCCAAAAAAGACGTGTCTGCTAATGTTATGTGTAACTAATTAGAACTTAAATTAAAAAAAAAAAAAAAAGACTTGTCTGTTTTGGGGCAAACTGGTTAAACATTCTGAGCCTCCATTTTCTCATCTTTAAAATGGACATAATGGTATCCACCTCACTGGATGTTACTAAGACCTGACACATTGTTAGCGCTCAGAAAATGTTAGTTATCATCATCATTTTTTTTTCTCCTTCTGGCACTAGCGATTAAACCTAGAGGTGCTATTTCCCCAACCCTGTTTATTTCTTATTTTGAGACAGGGTCTCACTAAGTTGTCCAGGCTGACCTTAACTTTGTAATCTTCCTGTCTCAGCCTTCTAAGCTCCTGGGGTTACCATGCCTGGTCATTAGAATGATTTTAAAAATAGATAAGTTCATTGTCATATACTCCTCAAGGGAATGAAAGAGGGAAAGTTTCCTGAGTTATTAACTTTTTCTTTTGAAAACTAGACCTTTCTGGGAGGTATTTCCATTCTCATTTCATATACCACTTCCAGATAAACAAAAAGTGAATTAACAGAAAAACTCAATGTTCCTTCTTGCTTTTCCTTGGATAGGACTTCCATTTCTACTCCAAGCTGAAGAGGAGTGAAGCACTTTGGAATGGTCATCTCCAGGACTTCAAGGAAATTTGGAAACTTCCTGCACAGGTAGAAAATGAGTGGGAACTAGCCCAACAAAATAGTTGGCTGACTACCAACAAAGTAGCCAGCCCTGGAATTCTGGACATGGACAAGCCAACCCTGGGAAAGGAATTGTTTTAGTCAGCTTTTTTGCTGCTCTGACTAAAAGATCCGACAAGAACAATTTTAGAGGAGGAAAAGTTTATTTGGGGGCTCACAGTTTCAGGGGTCTAAGTCCATAGACAGCCAGCTCCATTCCTCAAGGATGGAGGTGAGGCAGAATATCACGGTAGAAGCATGGTGGAGGGAAGTAGCTCACATGATGATCAGGAAGCAGAAGGAGAGACTCCACTCACCATATAAAAAATATATGCTCCAGCTGGGTGTGGAGGCACACGCCTGTAATCCTAGCAGCTCTGGAGGCTGAGACTGGAGGATCACAAGTTCAAAGCCAGCCTCAGTAAAAATAAGGTCCTAAAGCAACTCAGCGAGACCCTGTCTCTAAATAAAATACAAAATAAGTCTGGCGATGTGGCTCAGTGGTTGAGTGCCCCTGAGTTCAATCCTTAGTACCAAAAAACAAACAAACAAACAAATATATATATACACATACATGCACATACACACACACACACACACACTCTCCAAAGGCACGCCCTCAGTGCCCACCTCCTCCAGCCATACCCTGCCTGCCTTCAGTTACCACTCAGTTAATCCCCAACAGGGTTAAGACTTTTATAACCTAGTCATATCAACTCTGAATGTTCTTGCATTGTCTTCCATATGAGCTTTTGGGAACACCTAATATCTAAATCATAACAGGAACCCAAGCTCTTAATGTTCTCTAGTTTATCATTAAAGAGTTGAGAAATGAACGAGAAGCAAATGGCACCCAGATAAGCTTGTTTCCTAGGTTGAAAATTTAGTTTCCTTGGAAAAAAGATAAAACCAAATTCTGAGCTATAATTTTCCTCTTAATGGGCTGTAGCTGTAGCTCAGTGGTAGAGCGCTTGAGTCACAAGTGTGAGGCACTGGGTTTTATCCTCAGCACCACATAAAAATCATTAAAGATATTGATACATCTACAATTAAAAATTATTTTTTAAAAAATATTTCTTCCTTTCTCTTTCTTTCCTCCTTTATTCTTCCCTCCCTCTTCCTCCTCCCTTCCTCCCTCTTTCTTTCTTCTTCCCTCCCTCTTTCCCTGCCGCAGTCTGGCTGGGCACAAATGCCGCAGTCTGGCTGGGCACACAATCACGAGCCACCACACAGCTTGTAGATTCAAACAGCAACTCTTTATTCCCGAACTCACACCAGCCGTCTACAAACACGTTCTGGGGAAATCCACGTTCTCTTCCCAAATCCCCTCCACTGGGCTTCTATCTCCAAAGTATACTGTCTAAATCCCGTGAGAACTCAAGGGGAACTCAGGCAGCAGGATACGCCCTATTCCCAGCAGGAATAATCTTAAACCTTAAACCTGGAACCTAAACCGGGAACGCCCTAAACACGATTATCTTAAAACCGGGAACACCCTAATCTGCCTTGGTCCTTGAGCAAGGTCACTTACATTCAATGTCACTGCAACATGTCAGCAACATGGGGTACGCTGGCAAGGAAATTGTCATACCTACTTGGCTAATGGCTCCCAGCATCTCCCCCCTTCTGATTAATTAAACAACAAGCAATGTGGCTTAAGGACCGTGCCTGGTAGGTTGTCCAATTCAACATATGGTTCTTACCCGTCATGGGAAAAACTGACCTTTAGGCGTCAGCCTCCTGTCTTAGGTTGATACCACTGCAATTGAATCATACCCGTCACTGACTACCGGTCCAGCATACAGCCATACTTGTGGATAGGTCTATGCACCAGTGGGGGGGTGAGGTTCTTTGCCTCACCTCTGTTGGCCCCCAAATTTGGCCTTGGTGCCAGTGGGGGAGTGAGGTTAATGTGGCTTATGGACCGTGCCTGGTAGGTTGTCCAATTCAACATATGGTTCTTACCCGTCATCGGAAAACTGACCTTTAGGTGTCAGCCTCCTGTCTTAGGTTGATACCACTACAATTGGATCATACCCGTCACTGACTACCAGTCCAGCATAAGCCATTGGCCCCCAAATTTTAGACCATCACTAGCAGAAGGGAGGAGGATACAGAAATGCCACGACACCAAGCCAATTGACGGCTCCTTGGGAAAAATTGCATCACTGGTGACACCATCAGCAAAGATATGTCAGCACTACCACAATTAACATGGGGTGCGCTGGCAAGGAAATAAAAATTGCATCACTAGTGACACCATCAAACGATAGTTACATAGTCCAGGCAAGTTCTGCAAGCAGTTCAAAGCAGAGGAATCTATCAATATGTCCATTTCCTCCCAAAATCCGTTTCCTCCCCAAAGTAAGTTGACTCTTTGATTGAGCATTACTTGTTGAGTTCTTCACCGGCACTGGGATGGAGATAGGAATTCTGGCAATGATGCTAAAGAGACATTATCCTGAAAAGAATTATTAAATATAATGAAAAGGAAAGGTGAAAGTAAACAAACAGATCTGTTAACCTACTTTAAAAACAATCCTTAACAGCCTTTTACCTAATTTAAACTAGTAAACAAACAGATCTGTTAACCACCTTTAAAAACAATCCTTAACAGCTGTTTACCTAATTTAAATTAAACCATTTAAATCACGTGAATAAAAAAATAATAATAATTCGGATCCATTTTTTCATGAGCGCTCCTCATATAAGAAATATGGACATACGCACATACAGACATACAACACAAAACACAAGAGTGTACACAAACGTACAACACATAAGAAAATAGTAAAGGCCTTGTAGCTTTACCTAGGTGAAATCTCCATTGCAATGTTTAAAAACTCCACAGTCAAAAAATAAAACTGATCAGAAAAACATTAACCTAGGTTTGTATGAGCTCAAAAAATAAAAATAGAACCTTATGATGTGGAAAAATGCAATAATAAAATAGCTATTGAAAAAAGCATCCTGGTTAATCACTGTCGCAGATGTAAGAATGGCCAAGCTGGAGTTCTGGATATCAGCTGTTATGGATTTGAGTCAAATCATCTTCTTTTCGATCTGTAGAAACTGTTTTAGTTAATCTCTCTGGAATCCAAATCGGCTGTTGTTCTCCCTGTGGAAAAACACAAACAGACCCCTGACTCCAGACAATCACTGGGTCAGGACCTTTCCATTGTCCTGTTAGAATATCTTTCCAAAGTACTTTAGGCTTATGTACATTTTTTGGATACATGTGTCTTTCCGCAGCACTAAGTCCTGATGAATCCAAATTTAAAAAGTTTAGAGTAAAAAGCGTTATTTTAAGTTTATCTTTGGGGGATATATACCCCCTTCCAATTCCCTCTTTTTGCTTTAATAAGTATGTCTGTATCTAATAGTTGTCTTAGCTTTTTGTATTTTTTATCTGAAATACCTTTGCTTAACATTTTTAACCATTTTTTAATCTTGTTTCTATCTTCTAGTTTTCCTTTAAGGTTAGTACATTCACCCTTAGTTGCTTTTTTTTTTTTTTTAGTTTTTTTGTTTCCTATTTTGTGGGTTTAAAATTATTGTCTTCCTACATCTTTTCTATCTTCCTATATCTTTTTTATCTTTTTTTTAACTTTCTATACTTCTGTCTTTAAAGTTTTTCACTTCAAATTTTTAATCTATCTTTCTACATCTTTTCTCTTTTTTTACCTTTCTGTACTTCTGTCTTTAAAGTTTCACTTTAAATTTTTAATCTTCTTTATCTAAATATCTTTTATCCTATTATCTTCCCATTTTTTTTAAGTAATGCCTTTATGATTAACTAGGCTTTGAATGACACAATCTTTCCTCGTCATGAAGGCATTTTAACCACCTTCAATTTAACCTTTTAAAGCCTTCCAATTATCATCTATACTGTACTTTTAAATGTACTTTTTCACCACCTACAACTTCACTCTTTTAAACGAGGCTTAGATTCTGTTTAAATCGCTTTAATGTTAGTTTACATGGCTGCCTTTCAACCAAAGGCTTTTTTTTTTTTAACTCCATTGAGAAACTTTGTCTCAATCTGCCATGTACAAATACCTTTTTTTTCTTTCTTCCTTTCTCAAGCTTTTAAAGTAAGTCTAGTTTCCTCAAAATCTTTTTAAACGGCATTTTACAACTTTTTACTTTACCACACAGAGATTATCTCATCTAGAAACATTTCTTTTTCTTTTAACCTTCCATATTAAAATATATTCCACATCTTGAATCTTTTTCTCTTTTTTAACCGTTAACCCTTTTTATAAATTCACATTTTGAAACAACTCTTATAAAATTTCTGATTTAGACAAATTACTCCACTTTAATAAGATGAAAGACTTTCATGTTTTTTGATACTATAATACTATAATTGAAACCCAACTGAAAATTTTTCTACTCTTTGTATATAAATTACACATGATAGAATCTTAACACTTAATAACCTTGTTTTAGCAAAGACACAGACACAAGCAATATTAAACATTTTTCCATTTACCAATTTATGAAAACACACATAATGTTTAAATATATTACCTTATGGGACTTAATAAGTAAAGAGTACTTGATTTCATATTTAGTGGTTGATATTTTAACACTTTAGCCTTGTAAATTAATCAAATGTCTGTAAAAACCAAGATCTTAGACAAATGTAGTAAACAGAACTAGCCCTCTCTTTCTTGAAGAAAAATCCTTCTACAGGATACCATGATGGTCCCATTGATATACTTAATAACTCGTCTTTAAAAAGCCATGGGCTACATTTTTGTATTGTATCAACATATGCCCTAATTGTTCTTGGTCTCACTGGGGTGCCTCCTTCCTCTAACAATTTCTTTTGCTCGGAGGCGAATAACTTCAAACCTTGAGTCAACCATTTTCCCCAGTTTGCCTGAGAAAGTTCTAGGAACAGGCAACTTGAAATAAAAACAAAATAAATCAAAATGAGAACACATTGTTTTTTGAATTGGTCACCCATTCTTTCTCTCTTCCTCAAGGGTGAGAAATTTCACTTACCTCTAAGCTTCAGAAGTTCCCCGTACGGGCCACCAAATGCCGCAGTCTGGCTGGGCACAAATGCCGCAGTCTGGCTGGGCACACAATCACGAGCCACCACACAGCTTGTAGATTCAAACAGCAACTCTTTATTCCCGAACTCACACCAGCCGTCTACAAACACGTTCTGGGGAAATCCACGTTCTCTTCCCAAATCCCCTCCACTGGGCTTCTATCTCCAAAGTATACTGTCTAAATCCCGTGAGAACTCAAGGGGAACTCAGGCAGCAGGATACGCCCTATTCCCAGCAGGAATAATCTTAAACCTTAAACCTGGAACCTAAACCGGGAACGCCCTAAACACGATTATCTTAAAACCGGGAACACCCTAATCTGCCTTGGTCCTTGAGCAAGGTCACTTACATTCAATGTCACTGCAACATGTCAGCAACATGGGGTACGCTGGCAAGGAAATTGTCATACCTACTTGGCTAATGGCTCCCAGCATTTCCCCCTCCCTTTCTTTCTTCTTTTTTTCAGAATACTGGGGATTAAACCTGGAACATCATGTATTCTAGGCAGGCTCTCTACCACTGATCTATGCCCCTAGCCCCTTCTTTTAAATTTCTGTCTGAATTTTATTGTATTAATTGGTGAATTGATTGATCCTAGTGCTGGAGATCGAACCCAGGACTTGGCACATGCTAGGCCAAGTGCTCTACCCCTGAGCTACATCCCTAGCCCTGTATCTGAATTTTAGCTAAAATTAACTATCACTTGACCAGGTCAGTGGAAAAAGTGAGCATGGATATGGTGGGGCATGCCTCAGCTGATTAGGAGGTGGGAGGATCAAAGCTTTTCAAGGGCAGCCTGGGCCATATAGCAAGAGCCTGTCTGGAAATAAAAAGGACTGAGCATGTAGCTCAGCTGGGGATAATTTCCTAGCATGTGTGAGGCACTGGGTTTGATTCCCAGTACAGCAAGCACAAAAACAAAACAAAGCAAAGTTTAAGAAAAAGTGAGCATGGAAAACTCCAAATTAAAACTGTAGTCAACCCTAGATTATTGATGGGATGAATTTCTTATTGTTAAGATAAGTTCCCCTCCCTAGAGGAGAAGAATTTTAGGAATTTTGTTGGAATTTAGGGGGTATTCTTCTTCTCCTACCCAGAATCTAGATCAACTGGGAGAGATTTAAGAGTTAGACATTGAGATGAAAATGGCAGCTTTAACTGGGGGGACTGTTGAGAATGCAACTGAGGCCTGTGGCCACAGAGGGCTTCCTAATAACCCCAGGATCCAGCAGATTGACTTATCCAGCCACTAGCAGTATGGACTACCCCAGCCTCATTCTTAAAAGATAAAGCCTTTGCTAATGGTCTCTGAGCCTTGTATGCCCAGCTCCTCATTAATCAAAGAAGCCATTTCTCCCACTTCTAAGTCAGAGGATGGAGAAAGGCCAGTAGAATTAGTCTAAGAAGTATCCTTTCACCCCAAAGACAGTATCTAGAAGAGAAAGGTGGCTTTTAGTATTTCCTGTTGATAGGTGGAGATGGGAGAAAAGGAGAAGCCATACTTGGGTCAGAGCTCCTGAGGAGGGGGTAGCTGCTCTGGCTAACAAGGAATGGTCTAGAATCTGGCTAATGAGGAATGGTCTAGATTCTGCCTCCCTCCTTTTCACAGATTTTGTCCATATGAACTTGTCTAGAAGCTGGAAAAATGAGTAAGACCCGTAAGTCTATCCACATTGACCATGGTTCCACTATACTCTGGTTTATTTGATCCTGGTGAATGTAAAATTGACCATATTCTGTCACCTTTAATAGCTTATTTTTAAGCATCCAGTGAAGACCTCTTCCACCTTGTTTCCATTTTTCTGGTTTCAGAATATAGGTTTCAATTGTAGTTAGTCTCATTTCATTCTTTCAGATCTTGGAGCAAGAACTGAGTATGAGGAAAATTCAAACCAGGGCATTTCAGGGAAGGTGGAACTACTGAGGGTATCATTAGAAAGCTCCCAAATGGATGTTTTCCAATACTGTAATTGCTGGAAAGACTGGGAAAACAGATATGGGGCAGAACAGCAATGGGGAATAGCCCTGCTGCAAGTTGGACTAGAGTCAGTCTCTCCTCCAGAAAGAGATGTAGATAAAGTCATAGGTCCTCAGGGTACCTATGCAGAAGAAAAATCCAGTATGTGTTTTGACTATGGAAAAAACTTCAACCATATCTAGCCATCCATAGGTCAGCCACACAGGAGAAAAGAAACCTTATGAATATAGCCATTGTGGGAAAAGCTTTGCCAAAGCTCACATCTAATCTGCCATCAGAGAACCTACACTGGGGAGAAGCCTTCCCAGGGCCCTGAATATGAGAAAGGCTTCTGTGATCATTCTAACCTCACAGGACACCAGAGAATCCACACAGGAGAAAAGCCCTATAAATGTGCAGAGAGCTGGAAGTGTTAACCAGAGCTCAAACATTATTATGCACCAGAGAATCCACAGAGGAGAGAAACCCCATAAATGTAATGGGTATGGAAGAAGATTCCCCAATAGCTTGCACTTTGATTGGGGAAAGTTCACTAAGGGTTCTGTCCTCACCAGCCACCAGAGGATCCATAGGAGAAATCCTACAAGTATCTCGAGTGTGGGAGAAGTTTCAGTGACTACTCAAGCCTCATTACCCACTGGTGAATTCACACTGGAGAGACCCTATAAATGTGGGGAATGTAGGAAAAGCTTCAATCAGAGCTCAAGTCTCATTATACACAAGGAGAAAAGCCCGATGAATGTAACAAATGTGAGAGGCAATTGGACAGCAAATTTTAGCCACATTGGAGAACCTATGTGGGAGAGAGACTCTGATGTGTCCGGTATATTGGGAAAATGTCTTTAAAGCACCAAGTCTGGCAATTCTAAGGAGTTTGTCCCATAAAAGAGTCTTTTTTGCCTTTAATTCTATAACCTGTCACCAACCTGAGATAAGAATTTAAGTCACAGTCCAAAAGACTTTGTTTTGTTTCTCTCTCTAAATGCTTGGCTTATGGAAATATTCCTCAGGGTTTCCTTATCTATGCTGTTGCAATGGAAGCCAATTTCCAGAGAATTCAGAAACTAATTCTGAATTTGACTATGTCCCCATTTCAGTGTGTCTTCATTGTGATTCTGTGCCTTAATTTTCTCATCCCTGAGATCCTCCCTCACAGATAGACAGGGCACTGTCCTGCCCTGATCATGTTAATGGAGATGGGTCAGCTATGGAGCCAGCAGTGTTTGGGCACTAGACAAAAGTTTATAATAAAATTTCTAATGTACCATTGTTCTCCCTGTGGGAGGATTGGGGCTCAGGATTCGTACATTTCCCCACCCTCCTTAGGATTTGCAGGAATTTATAGAAAATTTCTAGATTCATAGAGGAAAGTGCTCTATTACATGGGGGAGGGAAAAGGAAGAAAGAACAATGTTAGGTTTGGCTTTCTAAACTATAACTTCCCTCTCCCAAAATATTAGATTGAACCATATGAGATTGCCATTGCTGATCTACAAACTAGCAATTTTATGATTCGATCTAAGTAGAATGTCTGCAATTGTGTTCCCAATGGCCAGCAGCTCATACTGAATCCTAAAAAGGTGAAGCTGGGTCTAGAAGATATGAAGCAGGATAAATAGGTGGGTAAAGACCTTTCTCTTTGTAGATATGCCCAGAGCAAAAACTAAGAACCATGGTATTAAAAAGTCCCTAAAGGATTTACTTCTATGTCACATGCCTTTGACAAGCCCACTAATTCCTGTCTGTGCTTCAGGCTTCTCAGAGCCAGGGTATCCTGATCCTTCGGGCAACAGATTCCCACAGATTTCAGTCTCTGCACAAGAGCACAGCAGAGTCCCTGGATAGACTCTGATGCACAGAACAAATGGGGCTTAGAAAAAAAATGGAACACAGTTTCTTCCTCTTAAAATAGTGCCCATTGTGTTTGATTTTTAAATATTTTCCCACAACCTCCCAGAATCTCATTATAAAACAAAGCACAATCTACACATATTACAATTGTACTTAATTAGATTAATAATTATTATAATAAGGCTAACTCAGTAATAAGGCTTCTTTTTTAACATAAAAACACTTAGCCAAATAAATGTCTGTCAAAATTGGTTATTTAATGGGCTGTGGACTTCATGTTATTGTGGTTATTCAAGAAGTTCTTTTGAGTTTTTCTGTAGGATTTGACTACATGCCTTCCCAGCATGTAGGGTAGTTAATGTCTTATACACTAGAAAAGTTTAATAAATGCTGATGGAACAAACACCTTTTTTATCCAGCCTAATCATCTGTCTTATCCATGAGACTGGGCTCTACTCAGTTTTTGCTTTCCAAAAATAGAATCTCTTCAAAGGATGTCAATTCACTGCCATTAAGGAGACTTTTCAGGGTCTGTTGTTGGGAGACAATTTTCAAAGAGGTATTCCAGAAATTGGAATTTAGAATATTTGTCAAGACCAGGAAATAAAATTGATATGGATCACTTGATATTATTTTACTCTTTCAATGAGAAATTCTTAGGTAGAAATTCATCCTACTAATACCTGAGGTAGCTCTGCATTATAAAATGACTTTGGAGACCAGGTGTGGTGGTGCATGCCTGTAATCCCAATGACTTGGGAGGCTGAGGCAGGAGGATCAAAAATTTGAGGCCAGCCTCAGTAATTTAGTGAGACCGTGTTACAACAAAAAATAGATAAATAAAGGTGCTGGGGATGGAGCTCAGTGGTAAAGTGCCCCTGGCTTCAATCCCCAATCCCACCCCCTAAAAGACTTTGGGAACAACCAGATTCTCTTTTGAAAATTTTTGACATCATTTTTCTTTTGGATGGAATAAGAAGATTCAAATATATAGAAATATATAGTCGATTATGGGCTGGGATGTGGCTCAAGTGGTAGCGCGCTCGCCTGGCATGTGTGCGGCCCGGGTTGGATCCTCAGCACCACATACAATCAAAGATGTTGTGTCCGCCGAAAACTAAAAAATAAATATTAAAAAAAAATTTCTCTCTCTCTCTTAACTCTTACAAAAAAAAAAAAAGAAAGAAATATATAGTCATATAATGTCATCTCATATATTTTCCCCTTAATGAAATAGTGGAGAAATTAAGCTGGAAATTGTCAGTATTCCATAAGGATCTTAGAGGAAGACATGTTAGTTGCTTTAAATAATGTTTGCTATCAGTCTTCCTAAATGGGATACTTACAACAGTGAATTGTGGCTTAATAGTTAACATAGAGATGTTTCTCATTGAATCATGTGATATGAATTTTACAGTGTCCTAATTTTTATTTGAAATGGTATCATCCACCATCTTATTCAAAAGTGTTTTGATTTACTTTTTTATCTGCCACTCTATGGGATGAACAGAGTTCTGGAAGCTCGTTTTATTTATTTATTTATGTTAAGTTTTGGAACTGGGGTGCCCAACCACTGAACCACATCCTTATCCTTTTTTAATATTTTTATTTACAGACAGGGTCTTACTGAGTTGCTTAGGGCCTCACTAAGTTACTGAGGCTGGCTTTGAACTCATGATCCTCCTGCCTCAGCCTCCCAAGCTGCTGGGATTACAGATGTGTGCCACCATGGCTCTGGAGGCTCTTAGTTTTAACTCAGTACAAACTAACAGTTATGGCTTCTAAGTATGTGAACAAGACAAGCAGCAGTGGCTTCTGTAAGTCATTTTCTTGAAGATATCTCAAGATGAAGATGGTAATGATGAACCAAAATAAACCTTTCTTTCCTCTTTTTTTTTTTTTGCATATATGCACAAGTGAACCCATCCTTTTTTAAATTTACATATGACAGCAGAATGTATTACAATTCTTATTACCCATATAGAGCACAGTTTTTCATATCTCTGGTTGTATACAAAGTATATTCACACCAATTTGTGTCTTCATACCTGTACTTTGGATAATAATGATCCTCACATTCCACCATCATTAATAACCCCATGCCCCTCTCTTCCCCTCTCACCCCTCTGCCCTATATAGAGTTCATCTATTCCTCTCATGCTCCCTTTCCCTATCCCACCATGAATCATGTGGCATATATACATAATGGAATGTTACTCCTCTTTTTAAATTTTTTTTTAGTTGTAGATGGACACAATACCTTTATTTTATTTGTTTTTATTTTTATGTGGTGCTAGGGATTGAACCCAGTGCCTCACGCATGCTAGGCAAGTACTCTAACACTGAGCCACAACCCCGTCCCCTAATCTTTCCCCTTTAAAAAAAAATAATGAAAGATACAGTTGAGAGTGTATAAAGTTCACTTATATTACTAAAATATTGCAATAGATTATACATTTTGTTTATCAAATTATACATTGAAAAAAAATTTTTTTACTCTGTGTGTGTGTGTGTGTGTGTGTGTGTGGTCCTAGGGATGGAACCCAGGGCCTTGTGCATGTGAGGCAAGCACTCTACCAAGTGAGCTATATCCCCAGCCCCTGAGAAATTTTTGTAGAAGAAACTTACAGCAAAAATATTGATTCTCCAGAGATATGTGTATAATATGAATTGTAAAGCATTCTGCTGTTATGTATAACAAATTAGAATAAAAAATTTTTAAATATTGATTCTCGCAGGGTGTGGTGGTACACACCTATAATCCCAGCAGTTCAGAAGGCTGAGGCAGGAGGATCGTGAGTTCAAAGCCAACCTCAGCAAAAGCGAGGTGCTAAGCAACTCAGTGAGACCTTGTCTCTAAATAAAATACAAAACAGGGCTGGGGGTGTGGCTCAGTGGTCAAGTGCCCCTGAGATCAATCCCTGGTAATCCCCCCCTGAAAAAAAATTGATTCTCATTTCCATTTACAGCTAGCAGGAAACACTAGCATTGGATTTCCAGGCACTAATCCTGCTAGCAAAAGCTGATGTAAGTATATTAACCCATTAGATAAATTAATTCCAAGTGAATCCTGTGAGTGGCATGGTCAGAGGAGGTGTTTTGTTTTAATCAGATTTATTATTAGACTCTAAGCTTCTGGACAGAGACTGGTATAAGACTGATATCTGCAAAGAATATAGAGGCCATGATGGGGACTTGCAAATACCACTGTTGGTGGTAAGCGTGATCCAGGCCTCCCCTGCGACTCACTCCAGAACAGGAGCCTCCCTCTCTGTGTCCCATGAATCTGCTCCAATCTCCCAAATGATTTTCTTTCTTTGTTCCTCTCCAGGGCTCTGATTTTCCAGGTTCTTCACCACAACACAGTTAATCAGTATTCATAGTGTGTCAGATTCTGTGCTAAGCACTTAATCCACAGGGGCTCAGTTAACCATGTCAGCCACTCCATGAGCTTGTACTCTGATCAGACCCATTTTACAGAATGGAGGGAACTGAACACAGAGCTGGGGCTTGGGCCCTGGTTAGTCTGACTCTTCCACTGGTGTTTTAATCATTATGTTCTGTCAGACTCCTAGACTCCTCTTCCTCCTCCCCTTCTTCTCCTCCTTCTCCTTCTCCTCCTTCTCCTTCTTCTCCTCCTCCTCCTTCTCCTCCTTCTTTTCCCCCTCTTCCTCCTCTTCCTCTTCCTCCTCCTCTTCTTCTTCTTCTTCTTCCTCCCTCCTCCTCCCTCCTCTTTTTTCCTCCTCCTTTTCCCTTTCTTCTTCCTTCTTCTTTTTTTTTTTTGGTACCAGGGATTGAACTCAGGGGCACTCAACCACTGAGCCACATCCCCAGCCCTTTTTTGTATTTTATTTAAAGATAGGGTCTCATTGAGTTGTTTAGCACCTCGCCATCGCTGAGGCTGGGTTTGAACTCACCATCCTCCTGTCTCAGCCTCCTCAGCAGCTGGGATTACAGTCGTGCACCACGGTGCCTGGTTAGTTTATCTACTTAATTGCATTCCAACTCCCCTTGCTCCCTGGGCTGGGGCTGTGTCTTTCTCACTTCTGTCTTTTCATATGTTGATCCTTCTGCCTGGAAGAACCCACCTTCTCTTCTGCCCGAAGGTAGGAAACAACTCAGAGGTCACGTGACCTTCCTTGTTCATACATGGTCTCTAAGTAAGAAGTGTTCCCAGAACATATGACCCCTTCTCTCGCTGGGTTCTCCCCAATTGCCTGCTGGCAGAGTCATGTTTTATTTTATTTTTTAAATTTTTATTTATTTAAAAAATAAAATAAAACACATTATCACATATCTTTGCTCTTCCTGCCTAGTGGAATCAAATAATCCCAGTAACCATCCAGGGGCACTTAACCACTGAGTCAAATCCCCAGCCTTTTTAAAATTTTTGAGACAGGGTCTCACTGGGTTGCTTATAGCTTTGCTAAATTGTTGAGGCTGGTTTGAACTTGTGATCCTCCTGCCTCAGCCTCCCAGGCTGCTGCTGGGATTATAGGCATGCACTACCATGCCTGGCCAGAGTCATGTTTTATATAGCTCCACACTTCCCATGACCTAGCATCTGTGTGGTACATAACACAAAGCAACTCTCAGAGAGGCTACTTGAGAGAATCATAACCTATAGCATCACCTCTCCAACTGCCAGGGAACACCTGCCTCCTTCCCGAGCCTCCAGTAACTGGGTGCATTCACACATAATAGCCAGTTGCAGAGACTTCTGTGATAGACTCTGTTCATTCCACTTTTGTTGCATCCATTCTCTTGTCCATTTGTCTCATGCTGCTGTTTTCTTTTTCATGGCTGCTTTTCTCTTCACATGCTCTGTGGCCTGGCTCTTTCCTCAGGCTCTGTTCCTGCTCCCCAGAAATCCAGCCTTATACTTGGTGGATTTGGAAAGCGGGCTGTGCCTGGCTCTGAGTTACTCCATTTTGTAAAGTAGTAGTTTGCCAGGAGTTAACTCCATTTTTCTTTTTCTGTGGTGTTGCTGGGGATTGAACCTAGTGTTTCATACATCATGCTAGGCAAGTGCTGTACCACTGAGCTACATCCCCAGCCCTGAGTTACTTCATTTTGAGTACAAGTGCTAAGGTAGAATGCCTCTACACGTTGTATAAGTAAACAACCACCAACAGGACTGTGAAGGTAGCTGAGTGGTAGAGCACTTGCCTAGCAATATGACACCTGGCTGCAATACCCAGCAC